AAATAAGACTTGGGGCTGTGCTGGTGGACAGCAGAGTCTGGCTCGGGCAGCTGTATTAGAGGGAGGAGGAATGCAGCATTCCTTTGAGCTCTCATCCAGAAATCCTGTAAGAGCAGGAATTTTAGCAGTGCAGGGAGGTCTCAGTTGAGATTAGACCTTGCTGGACAAGCCTGTTTGCAAGGAAAGCTGAAGGTCTGGGCAGGGCAGAGCCAGGGTGGGGGAGATGTCGGGTCACAGCCAGATGCAGTTGTGTGTGTGTGGCTGTGCCACTGGAGAGTGTCAGAACCTGCCACAGGATCTTCTGAGTGTCATCCAGTCCCAGGGAAAGATGTCCCCAGTATTGCTTGTGGCTTTGGGGACCGTCAGTTCCATGTTAGAAGAGCTGACCATGGAATGGTTTGGGTTGGAAGGGACATTCAAGATCATCCAGTGCCACCCTCTGCCACGAGCAGGGGCACCTTCCACTATTCCAAGTTGCTCCAAACTCCATCCAACCTGGCCTTGGACACTCCCAGGGATGGGGCAGCCACAGCTTCTCTGGCGACCTGGGCCAGGACCTCTCCACCCTCACAGGGAAGGGTTCCTTCCAATATCCCACCTAACCCTGCCCTCTGGCAGTGGGAAGCCATTCCCTCTTGTCCTGTCACTCCAAACCTTGTAAACAGTCTCTCTCCATGTTTCTTGTAGCCCCTTCAGGTCCTGGAAGGTCACAATTAGGTCACCCTGGGGCTTCTCTTCTCCAGGCTGAACAATCCCAACTCTCTCAGCCTTTCCTCCCAGCAGAGCTGCTCCATCCCTCTGGATCTTGGGAATTATTCACTCAGAGAGGCAAATGTTGCAGTATTGTCCATCCCCACGGAGCAGGAGGGAGATGGAGCCCAGGCCATGGGAGCAGCCTGGCTCTGAAGCCCCCAAAGCCTCACTTTGTCTGGCACTTGGGCCCGTTGCCATCTCACAGAGGGTCCTGCTGGGCACCTCCTCTGTGCTGCTGTTTGTGCAGTGTCCTGTGTCACCTCAGGCTAAAACCACCTGTCCTGACCCCCCAGCAAGGTCAGAACCAGTGTGAGGAGCTGGGCTCAAACCCCAGGTGAAGCAGGAGAGGAACCTGGGCAGATCCCAGCTGGCTTTGAGGGGCAGAACCAGGGCACTGTGCTCCCCCTTGGCTGTGTCTGCCTTCACACAGTTTAACTTCCACCTGGTGCAGCTGTTGTGGCATCTGCTGGCACTGTCATTCCTGGCTGGCTGCCTGCCCTTGGAGGTGTGGGGCTCTTTGGGATGCAGTCACTCTCCCTGGAATCTTGTGCCAGAGCTGCCCAGGGACAAACAGGCAGGGCAGGGAATTGTGCTGCTGCTCCTTGGAGGAGCTGAAGGCCAGTTGTGCTGAGCAGAAGACTTTTTTCCCTGTTCAGCTCATGCTGGTTGGCAGGAAGAAGACCTGACAGCTAACATTTGATTTTTTTTTGCCCCCTAAAGCAGGTAGTGGGGATGTGCTGAGTTTGGGCCAGCCAGGCCAGTGCCACAGAAAAACTACCCTGTGAGTGACACAGCGAGGCATCACAAATCCCTCTTATTTTTATGCTGATTTTGAAGTGACTTTTAATCCTTGAGACATATTGGCCTCTAAGCACTTTTTTTTCAAAGAGGGATATAACCCAACTCATAACCCAACTTGAGCAGTTTGGGTAATAATAGCACTTAGTGCTTAATGAGTGTTGTGGGATTAATCCTCCTGGAGCAAGACATTTAAATGGAATTGTGTTGATCTTGGGAATGGGGCAGTGCTTTTCTGTGGGCATGAAGTAGCAGCTCCCTTGCTGTGGCTGCACCAGAACCACGGGGATGGAGCTGGTGAGCCTGAAGGTTGGGTTTAGGCTGAGCTTTGTGTGTTGGGTCCCTTCCCCTGCCCTCACAGCTGCTCTGGGAATCAGGTGTGGTCCTCTGGGCTCAGTCAGACCTGCCAGTGGGGATTTGGGGTCCTGCCTTCTGGGAAGAGGCTGTTGGAGGGTCATGGCTCAGGGCCAGGGAGATGTCTGTGGTTCCCTGTCCTGCTCCCTCCCACATTGCTGGGTCAGACCTGTGGTTCTGCCAGCCCGTTCCACAGAGGGGTTTTCTGGCCACCCTGTTGATTCAAACAGGACTGAGCAATATAAATAAATGTCCCATCAAAAGAAACCATTCCCAGTTGGCTGAAGTCCCTTGGGTGGCCACAGCCTTGGCTCTGATGTGCAGCTGTGTCATTGTTGGGGGTGTCACCTGGGGGCCAATGAGGAAGAGCAGCACTGAGTCTGTGATGCTTAATCCTTTTGGGTACCCATTGGTATGTTTTATGTCTCAATTACTGCAGGTTAAAATCAGCTCTTCATTATTTTTTGCTTTGTTTTCAGGTTACAAACTCATTGGGAGCCATTCCGGGGTGAAGCTCTGCCGGTGGACAAAGGTGTGCTCTCTTTCCTTTTCTCTTTTGGGAAATAAAACAAAGCTAGAGGCTTACTCAGGTATTTCACTTTCCCAATGAAATGTCATTTAGAAGTGTGCACAAACCCAAATTGCCTCTTTCCAGCTTTAGTCTTGCATTTCAAGCTGTTAAAACCCCGCTGTGAAGAGTGAGAATGTGACTGTGGCAAAGAGCTGGGAACATCATTTGCTGCTTTTTCCTGTTATTCTGCTGTCTGCTAAAATCTCTCCTGCCTGCTGGAAGACACGGCAGGAGCAGGACACTGCAGAGGAAAGGGGGAAGGTTCCATCACCAGTGTTTCCATCACCAGTGTGAGGGCTCTGAAACAGGGATAACAGTCCATTGTTCCACCTGGACGGGCACACAAGGATGTTTGAACCTGTTGTGCTGGGCTGGCACAGTCACTGCTCCTCCACTGGTTTTGTAAATCAGATTTAAACAGTGAGGTGTTGCTTCTTAATGGTAGGACTATTAAAAATTCCCCTTGTGGGAGTGTGTGTGGACGTGGTTGTGTGTAATACCCGTGGGTATGTACACATGGGAGAGGATAAATACAGATGGAAAAGGGAAACACAGATACAATTTGGGCAAGAGGCTTTTAGGGTATGTAAAAGCCCCTCAGGAAGGGGCTGGTTTCCTGAAACAGGGGAGAAACCACTGAAGAAACATCAAAAGCTGGGAAATGGCACTTGGGGACATGGGTTAGTGGTGGGCTTGGCAGTGCTGGGTTAATGGTTGGACTCTGTGGTCTTAGAGGGCTTTGCCAACCTCAATAATTCTATGATACATATGAAAACACCGCCCTCCCAGCCCTGCAGTTGTCTGTTGTAGGCTCTGTAACCTTTTCAAGCAGTTTGCAGACTTAAAAACATTCCCAGCAGAGGCACAAAGCCCTGGAGAACAAACTTCAGCTACTTGAGAGTGTAGTTTGTCCTTTGCAGGTCCCTGAGAAACTCAAGAGTTTGAAAGTTGGTCTCTAATATTGTACATTTGGGGAGTAACATTGATCAGAGGATCACAGATCATTTAGGTTGGAAAAGAGCTCCAGGATGGGGTCCAGCCATCCCCCCAGCACTGCCATGGCCACCTCTGACCCAGGTCCTCATGTGCCACATCTACAAGTTTTGAAACCCCTCCAGGGATGGGGACTCCCCCACTGCCCTGGGCAGCTGGGCCAGGGCTGGATAATCCTTTCCATGAAGAATTTTTCCCAGTATCCAACCTGCCCCTCCCCTGGCACAGCTGGAGGCCGTTCCCTCTCCTCCTGTCCCTTGTTCCCTGGGAGCAGAGCCCGACCCCCCCCGGCTCCCCCCTCCTGTCAGGGGGTTGCAGAGCCAGAAGGTCCCCCCTGAGCCTCCTTTTCTCCAGGCTGAGCCCCCCCAGCTGTTCCTGGTGCTCCAGCCCCTTCCCCAGCTCATGTAGGTGCTCCAGCCCCTTCCCCCTCCACGCTGCAGAACACCAACCCCTCCAGCATTCCTGGGATGAGAACCTGTGGGAATCAGCCCCTCATTAACGTGCCAGCACATCTCTAATTCCTGCACCGTGGAGATGATCAGCCCTTGGTCTCTCAGCTCTGTTTTGCTGCTTGATTAACTCTGTTTGTTTTGGAAAGAGCCCTTGGAATGGCAATCACCACCGAGTTTGTATTGTCAGTGAACTGTTTCATCAAAAACCTTGTTCTCCTCGCCCAGCCCTGTATTGTCAGGAGTGTTTGTGAGATACATCGATCCCACTGATGCTTCTGCTGCTCACTCTTACAAATATTTCTCTCCTCTATCATTTTTAGTGTCAGAGAAGGCCGTGAAATGTTCAAAGAAAAACTTGTCAAACTCCAATGTTGCGACTGAGAAAAGCAGAGAAGCTGCTTTTATTAAAGAACCAGAATTTAATGCAGTGCTGTAAAGCCATTTCACAAAATAAATAGCAGCTCTATGTGCTTAGATAGGCCCACACTATTTTTAGCTTAAGCAGGAATTGAATGTAAAGGCTTCTAATAAATTGAGCTGAAATTGGTTCCGGGCAGTGGCTTTGCCTGAGGTTCACACCAGTGTGTGAGTGTCTCCAGGAGCCTCGTTGGAGATTTGGATCACTGGAAAGCAGGAGCAGGGCTGGCAGGATTAGCATTAAATAGACTTTCATAGGGATATCACAGATAGCAAAGATTGTGTTCTGTCAAATCCCAGAAAAGAGCGAGAAAACCTACACATTTTCAGAAGAGTCCCAAATGTAACTCGCTCTCCTGGAATTTGTGGATCTCCTGAAGTCTCTGTTTGAAGAATGGGTAGAATAAACAGCATTTCCCACCTTGTTTCATATTCTACCTGTACAACCAGCCTGTGCATATCTTAGGGGTTACCTGGATATTTTTCCCTGCTGCTCAGTGAAGACTTTCCTTTGGATCACCAGGATCCTTCAGGTGTATAGGAAGCTGCTGTGTCATATTGCAAATTAGCTTTTGAGAGTAGTAGCTTCTTTCTCATTTATTATTATTTAACTGGGCTAAGGAAAGGCAGTCTTTGCTCCGAGCAGCTTGAATGCTAAACAGGAGTTAATTCCCATTGGGAAGCTGCTGTGGTTGTGCTGGGAAGGGAAGTGCAGAGTCCTGCTGGAGCCACTGCTGGGTGTGAATGAGGGTTTATAAGGTCAGGGTGTTTATTTAATTTAGTGCTGGAAGAAACACTCTGGCAGACAAATGAAAGGAACTGAGTGTTCAGTAGGGCAGCCTTAAAATTCATCCTTGTTACTCCTTTTACAACAACACTTCTTGCATCTCCAGTGGCTTCTCCTGCTTTTTTTTGTGGGCTGGTTCAGTGAAAGCTCCACATTGTTGTGCTGGGGTCTGCAAGGGAGAAGGTACTGATGAGATTAAAGTTTTTTCTCCTCCAAAACAGTTATAAATTTGACCTCATAAATGCAGTTTGCCTGTAGGGCTGTGTATAAACAGTCACACTGTTGATGTGTGTGCTGGGAATCGCTCCAAGTGGTGGCACTGGTGGCCTGGGTGACCTCACAGTGTCACTCACAGGACTTTGAACTGGAGTTCCTGGGGACTGAAGGGAGCAGATTTCAAACTGTGCCCTCACTGTGGTTGCACAGGCTGTGCTCTCACTGTGCTGGTGTTGTGCTGTCTGGCTGTGCTCTCACTGTGCTGGTGTTGTGCTGTCTCTCTGTGCCCACAGTCGATGCTCCGGGGCCGAGGGGGCTGCTACAAACACACCTTCTATGGGATCGAGAGCCACCGCTGCATGGAGGCCACCCCCAGCCTGGCCTGTGCCAACAAGTGTGTCTTCTGCTGGAGGTAAAACCCTGGGGGG